TCATCTCCTTGTCAAAAATCAGTTGACCATAGATAGATGGGTTGATCTCTGGATTCTCAATTCTATTCCATTGATCTATGTGTCTGTCATTGTACCAGTACCATGCTGTCTTTACCACTATGGCAGTGTAGTAGGATTTGAAATCAGGGAGTGAGATAGCTCCTACCGTTCCTCTATTCTTAAGGAGTGCTTTGCTCATTTGGGGCTTTTTTTCCATTCCATATGAAATTGGAGATTGCCCCATAAGCTCAAACTCGTTGCCTGTGGAATTAGAACCAATTCATAATGACCCACGAATGAGTTTTCAGAGGCTACAGTTCTCATGGGCAGGGATTGCCCATTTTATGCCCAAGGTGCGACTGGTGGATTCAATCAGCTTGCCTATGGGTTGGCAGTTCAGCGCCGTAAAGACTATGCCACAGCTCCAGCTCCACTTAGAAAGGGCTTTTTCATTGTTATTAGTAACATTTATTCTATTATCTTATTTTCTAAATATATAATTTCATTTATTTATGTTATGATACATATCTACATAAGCATTTAGCAACCTATTACACAGATGTGAAACCAAAACCAAATTATAAGGAGGTGTTCTATATAATCTTCAATGTAACTGTTCTCTCCCCCCTCCACAGCGGCCCCCATGGTGATTCTCTCAAAGATCATTTAAGTATCTGTGAGAGTGAAGATCATTCAGAAGATTAAAATTCTTTTTTAAAGGTGGGAGTGTAGACAAGTCTGAGAAAAAGCCCTCTTGGCTGCTTTAGAAGCTGAGGATTAGTAACAATGTTCTGACCTGAAATTTAGGTCTTGTGATTTCTTTCCAGGAGATTTTTTCAGTGCCTGAAAAACCTGCCTCCAATAGTCTTATTCTTTAATTCAATCTTAATTGGATTCAAACCTTCAAAATCTGAAGGATTATTGGAAAGGCTAAAAGGGCATAGCATTTAAAAAAAAATGGTAGTATCAATCAACTGTGAAAAATTTACTTTGCCAAATCACTGAAACTTCCCACTCCAATGTGTGCTCGGTTTATTTTACATTTCCACTGCATTTTGAGTGGCACAAGTGGCTTAATGGTAAGGAATTGTGCTGTCAACCCAAAGGCACAAGGTTAAAATGACCAGCTGATCTGCAAAAGAGAGATGGGCAGTCTACTCCCTGCTCTTTATAACCTTTGAAAATCCACTGGAGGGTCAGCTATGCGTCAGTTCCAACGTGAAGGTATATACCACCACCCACCACTGCATTTTGAAAGTTTTTACAATGGATGGATAACTTAATTCTTAGGGCCTGTGTTTTGTTTACAGGAAGATTTAGCCATTTTTCAAAAGAAGGATAAGCTCTATCATTCTCACTGATTCTAAGAATTGTCCACATGGCTTATTATGAGTGAATGTAAATCAGACTTTCATCAAATAAGGAGATCACTTGCAGAAGTTGGATACTGAGGAATCAATGTAGATGAGTTAGGATCCCTGAAACTACTCTTTATGACCTTTAGAGAATTACAAAGCACTGCCAAACTACTTCCAGAGAAAGAAGAAATGCCCAGGGAGCATTTCTTTTGCAAGAGATGTAAATGGCCAGCATGGGGAAAAAGATAAGGGGGGAAAATGTTACTTTAAGTCACTTCTTCTTTCTAGTTTGTAGTGGTGAAATTGACTCTTGCAGAGCACTCAAAAGGATGCGTGCGAAAAAGCATCATTTCTATTGTTATCCTCTCTAAAACAAAGGCGCGAGGTGGAGGCAAGGCAGAGGAAAGACTATGACAACTGGTGCTCGCCCTCTGGGTTGAGAGAGGACCTGAGTGACAGGCGGGTCTGTTTTGTTTTGCACTTAGAGCTGGGCTTCCCTGAGGCCCTCCTGCGCTCATCAACCGGCCCCGCCGCAGCGCAACGAGGATGCCACGGGGCAGCCGCAGCTGCCTCTGCGTCAAGGGGCGGCGTAGCCGGGACTCCAGCACCCAGCCCTCGGGTCCGCCCCCACCCTCTCTGCAGCTCATCAGCGGCCTTAGCACAGGCGGGCTGGGCACGTGGGTGCCTCCGTCACACCCTCCCTCGCACACTCACTCACACACGCGCGCGCGCGCACCTCCCGCCTGCATCTCGTGCTCCTTCCCTGGCAGACACACAGGCGCTCACGAGTCTCTCCTCGCCGGATCCGCAGGGCTGCGACCACTTCAACCTGAGCCCCAGCACCTGCCCTTGGCTAGCAGCTGCTCCTCTGCAAAGAGCTCCTTTGCGGCCTTCACCTCCTCTGCTACCTGGCCCGACTGTTAGGCGTCCGCAGCTCCTGCCCAGACGTGGAAGAGGCAAAGAGGCGCCTGGGCCAGACGCACTAACGGTAATGACACGCTCCAAATGCTAAGGACATGGTTGGGGGTGGAGTGGGGTGGGGTGGGGTGGGCCTAGCTTAGCCAGTCATTCGCCCTATGCACTGGGTACCGGGGAAGACAGAGGACTTTATTGCAGGATCCTGGAATGGGCTCAGACTGTCTTGGAGAAACCCAAAAGCTCTTGGAGTTCTAGGCAGAGGAGGGCTCCCGGGGTGACCCAGGCTCTGCCCCCACACCTGCTTGCAATGGAGCATGCACAGCGGTGTGTCAAGAGAAGCACATGGGTGGAAATGTGCAGCCATCCTTCCTTCTGACTCCTCGTGGAAATTCCCACGGCATCCCCGGGAGATTTATTCATTTTTCTCTGTCCAGTCACAGTAGGATGAAGGGTGGGGTCGATAAGAGGAAGCCCGAGAGGAAAGCTGAGAGGTTCAGGGGCAGAGAGAGGCTCTAGCCAAGCGTTCTGGGTGAATTGGAAACCCAGCCTCGAGGGGGTGGGCGGAGGGGCGGGAAAAGAAGAGACCCTCATTCCTCATTCGCTTCTCTGGGCTGCAAAGAGCAGCTAGTGGAGGCAGTGTTGGCGCGTCACTCCTGTTGCCTTTAGCTAGAGACACTCAGAAGCTCCTGAAGTGGGGCTTTCACTGCTGAGGAGGCACGTGGCTACAAGCACAGCTGGAATGTTTTGCGCATCCCAGTATTAAAGTGTAGCAGGCAGGGTGGAGCTGCAGAATGGAAGGAGTGGATAGCAAGGAACTGGAATCCTAGATCGCTTTTGCGGTACCGTACATTGACACAGCTCATATTTCATAATCAGAACAGAGGACGGGCTTGAGGAAGCCTTTCAGTCCGTGAAGCCTTTTAAAAATGAATAATTAAAACACCCGAAATATCTTCGTGGCAGGCGTGATCTCCTTCCCCCGAGGTAGTTACTATAGAGGAGAAAATTTGGGACAAAAACCCCCCAGCTTTTCTGATAGGATTAGTTTTTCTGTAATGTCTGGTCCTCCCTTCCCATCTTTCCTAGAGGAATGGCTGGTGGAGTAAAGCCTTGGGGTTGGGGCCTGGCACAGTGACGTCTGCAGTGTTTGGGTGCTTATGCAAATGAGACTGCGACCGTGCCTATGCCCAGACTTTCCCTTCCAGGTCTTAAAGGTAGACACAGTCTTCGTGTGCACCCTACGCTGGCCAGAGGCAATGTAATGGAGGAGTGACACGTTAGCTGATGTCCTCATCGCTCATTCTTTAAAGCTTTTAAAGCTATACCTTTTGGTGCCTGGGTGCTTTTCTAGGCCACTGGAGAAACTGCTTCGGGGAGTATCTTTCTCTACAGAAAAAAATTCTTCCCCTCATTCAGCCCTGGCTTCTGCGTGGAGTGCTAAATTACACCCACACTCTGACTTAAGTGCCTGATACTGGGCTTGACTTTTATTTAGAAAGAAGGTTCTCGTTGTTAGTTGTAGCCAAAACTTCTCCCACTCACAGCACCCCTATGAACAGCAGACCAGGACCTTGCCCCATCTTGTTCGTCTTCAAAATCTCTGTTCCAGCTCATGGTTCCAGGAGTGCAGTACTCAGGAAATACTTGATGACGAAATTTTCTTTCAAAAATATTTCTGGCAAATCACACTTAGGGTATTTCACCAACAGAATTGCCTATATTATTTTTGTGACTGTTACTACCTTTTCTATTCACACAATTTATATATGCTTATCAGAGTAAAATACATTATGCCACCAAATGTGTGAAATTTAATTAATTGCCAATTTCCTCCTACGTGAAACATCCCATGTGTTCTTCACCACACCTCCTCCGTTGAAACAGGAGTTAACACGTATTTGAAAGTAATTATTCATTCAAGAATTACTTAATACTTTGAATATGTATAACTTGAGGTGTAGTGTTTTAATACATGTTTCCAGTAGATAACTGTGCTGTCACTTAATTTATAAAGTAATTAATAAATGAAAGGGGATTTTAAAAAAATCCATAATTTAGATATTTCAAATGTCAATATCCAGATGAACTGCCTTGTATCAGTTAACAAAATATCTAAAACAAGTCTAAGTAATTTGTTTTTGTTGGTAGGTGTCATCAAGTTGACCGGAACTCTTAATTGTTTTGTCATGTTCTGCTGAGTTGGAACTGACTCAATAGACCTTCTAGTGGCTTTTCAAAGATAGTAATTGCATCAGAGAAGATTGCCCTTCGTTTTCTCATGGAGCAGCTGGTGGATTTAAATCCCATCCCTTTGGGTTGCCAACACAATTTATTACCACAACGACCCATCAGAATTTGTCATCTATTCTGTACCATTCTCACTTTCACTGAGGTATATTTTTTAAAGTGAATTTGCCAAATCCTATGCCATCACCATCAAGATAGATGGTGAAGAGATTGAAGTTGTTAACAGCTTTAGTTTGCTTGGCTCCAGAGTCAACACTGTGGGCACCAGTAGCTAGGAAATCAAAAGATGAATTGCATTGGGAAAGGCTGCTGTGAGGTACATCTCCAGAGAACTGAAGAGCGACAATGTCAGTCTGGAGACTAAGGTGTGCCTGATCCTGGCCTTGGTCTTCAGAGTTGTGTGCTATGAATCAGAAACCTGGACAGTGACTTTGGATGATAGAAAGATAATTGATGCCTTTGAGCTGTGGTGCTGGAGAATAGTACTGAATACATATGGACTGCTAGGAGAAGAGATAAGTTTGTCCTAGAGAGGTTGAAACCAGGCAGCGTCTTGGAGGCAAGCTTCCTCTGACATACTTTGGGCATGTTGCAAGGAGAGACCAGTTCTTGGAGAGGGACAGTGCAAGAGGGGAAGACCCTTGATGAGATGAATTGACTTAGTGACTGTGTCAGAGACAGTAAGGTTGGCTCAGGATAGAGCAGGGTTCCATGCTCTTGTACACAGGGTCACTATGAGTTGCAGGCAACTTGATGGCACATAAAAATGACAACAACAGGCTATCCTTAGGATCTATGCTATGTTCTAGTTCACTATTAAAGTCACTGTGTCAATCCATCTTCTTCAAGGTAATTGTTGTCAGGTGTCATTAATGTGACTATGACTTCTAGGGACTGGACTTGTTCTATTTTGTGCCATTTTCACTTTGACTGAGTTTATTTTGTTGTCATTGTTTTTGTTAATTGCTATCAAGAAAATATGGCTTCTAGCAACTTTATGAACAACTATTTTTAACCCTGATTCATTCCGCACCGTCTTTGTCATCCTAGACACACCTAAGCCCATTTCCTCAGACACTATCCATTCATCTCATTGAGTTTGATCATAGTTTTAAGAGAGATTATTCCTTGGAGAAGGGCTTCCACCTTGGAAAAGTGGAGGGTCATCACAAAGAAAGGAAGACTGAAGGGAATTGTTGTTGTTGCTGATGTTAGGTGCCATCGAGTTGAGTATGACTCCTAGCCATCCTATGAACAACAACCCTATGTGCACCGTCCTCGCACTTCCTGACACCCAAGATCCCGTTGCAGCAGTCACCTTGTCAATTCACCTGTATGAGGGTCTTCCTCTCCTTCACCGACCAACTTCATGTCTCTTTCCAAAGAATAGTACCTCCTAGCAATATGTGCAAAGTATGTTAGGCGAAGCCTCATCATTCTTGCCTCCAAAGAGCACTCTGGCTGCTCCCACAGCTCAAAGGCATCAATTCTTTTTCTGTCATCATTATTCATTGTTCAGGTCTCAAATGCATAGCTAGTAATTGGAAAGACAATGGCATGGATCAGATGCACCTTAGTCCTCAAACTGGCATCACTACTCCTCAATAATTTGGAAAGATCCCTAATTTCAGATTTTACCATTGTAATGTGTCCTTATTTCTTGACTGCTTCTACCAAGAGTGTTAATTGTGTTATGAGGGTAATTATTTAAGACTAAATGCAATTAAATGGTGGCTTGTATAGGGAGCTCTGGTGGCTTGCATAGAGAGCTGTGGTGGCCTAGTGGCAAGAAGCTGTCCTGCAATCCCAAAGGCAGAAGGTTCAAGTCCACCAGTTGCTCTGTGGGAGAAAAATGGGCAAGTCTCCTCCTGTGCAATTTACTGCCTTTTAAAAACCTTGTGGAGGATCAACTATGAGTCAGTACATAACCACCACAACTAATGTCATATCATCTCAAGTATAGCCAGAACTATGAGGATGGTATAAGAATGGACTGTGTTTCCATCTGTGGCATTTAGGGTCACTATGGGACAGAACCAGCCACAGAGCACCACACAGAAACAAATTCTATAGCTAGAATTATTTGTTTTTCTACTGGGAGGAAGCTCTGATGATGTAGTTTGCAGAGTGTTGTGCTGTTAACCCCCCAAAAGCACATCTCCAGTTGGTGGAATCTACTAGCATCTCTGCAGGAGAAAAATGGGCAGGCTCCTCAGATAAAGATTTGCAACCTTCAAATCTATTAGGGTCTCTATGAGTGGGAATTGACTCCTTGACAGCAAGAAATTGATTTATTTATAAAATAAAACCTATACATGAATAGATAAGAAATTTTCATCATTTAAACTCTGAAGTTGTCTTCCAGATAAGTTCTAGAAACAGTTTACTTCTCAATGAAACAAAACCAAGTCCAAACTATTGAGGGGTATGGTTTGAATTTTTTTTAAATTTGTGTTATAATTTGAGTGGGAAATTTATAGAGAAAAAGGGTTTTCCACTTAATTAATAGAAATGATTTCTTGTGACTTTTATTACAGTCTCACTTTGTAAAAGAATTGCCTCCACTTCATCCCTGTGTTTTCCATTCATCCTGCTTTCTGAAGTTTAGGTACTACTTTTAAATCTTCTATGATTGATTGTTTTACAAAGTACATTCTTCCCTGAAGCTCTATTTTACAAAGTACATTCCTCCCTGAAGCTACTGATGGTCATATAGGTCTGTCTGTGATTTCATCGGAAGTTGAGTCATGGTGATGATTGATTTAAGAGCAGGCTTACAGGGTAGCTAATGGCCATAGTCCTTGGGGGTTCTACCAATCTCTT